AATAATGGGTGACAAGTGGGGTGAGGTGGGGCGAGGGTTTGGGAATAACGGGTGACGAGTAGGGTGAGGTCGGTTAGGGGTTTGAGAATAACGGGTGATGAGTGGGGTGAGGTTGGGCAGGGGTTTGGGAATAATGGGTGACAAGTGGGGTGAGGTGGGGCGAGGGTTTGGGAATAAAGGGTGACGAGTAGGGTGAGGTCGGTTAGGGGTTTGAGAATAACGGGTGATGAGTGGGGTGAGGTTGGGCAGGGGTTTGGGAATAATGGGAATGGCTATGTCAGTGTGGAGGACAAGTTAATACAGATGAATGTGACAGGTGGCTACATCAGTTAACGAGGTTCGTTAGCTATGCATTGATTAGTCTGTATTAATGAGAGAGGGTTACACATGCTACGTGCTGCACGTGACACAGGCGCCCCCTGGCGTCACGGCAAACGGACAGCGAAAACTCTGCTCTACGACAGACTACGTCTAGATGGTCGTCGTGGTAACGGATGAGCGATAGAGAAATCTAAAACTGAATCCTCTGACTTGGCAATCTAGCCTTGGCCTTATCTTTCTTTTCCGACACTGATTCACGACACATATGTATAAAATATTTATATATATATATCGTGTAGTATATTGCAATTAATATTACACATATTATGTCTTTACACTTCCTTGCCCTTACACCGAACATGTACGCAATTAGCAACAACGAGCGGATCCCCCCCCAGCGATCGTTGCCGTGGCGACCGTACCTCCTCGTTGAGATTGCTGATGAGGAGCACGCTGCATCCCTGCGGCTGGTTGCCGGGCATCCTCATGCCGACCGCTCCCATGGCGGCCATCGCCGCCGGGTTGAGTCCGGGGATGGAGAGACCCTGCAGTCCCGGCATCATCGGTACTCCGCCCGCGTTACGTCCCAGAGCTGCAAGAGACAAGAGCGCGCAGCCACGCCGTCAGTCGCACGCCGACGCAACGCCCCCTACCCCCGTCGACGTAGCGCCCCCTACCCTCGTCGCACGTCGACGCAGTAGTGCTGCCCCCTTACTGCCGCCCAACGCCGACACAGCTGTAACTTACTGCAGATGCAGCACCCAGGTCCTCCTACACACAGCGCCCCCTATTGGCACAGCTACTGGCATGGCGATACAGCGCACTGCTGCAGGCTCGTCAGTAGGCGGCGCCCCCTGCTGCCAACGTACACTAATTTACCGGAGTACCACCGCTGCACGCAGGTCGACTGCGGTTGCCATCATTACGCAGTCTCCGGAGAATCGGCATGGCAACGGCCAACGTCGAACCGTGATGTGCGTTTATCGACTCCAACGTGAAAATCGAAACAGCTCTCAGGATCAGCACAGCGAGATTAACGATTCGGTTACAATGTCGTTAAGCACTCGCAATCACTATATATCAATTACTACATGTCGTCATTAACAGACGAGTCACGAAAGATCACAATTAAAACCAACTAGAACTAAACACATGGTAACGTAGCAACGGAAATGAGTTATGTGCACGCAGTATAATAAACGCACAAAGGTCGGCGCAATAGAATAAAACGTGCCGATAGGTGGCATCCACAATAAAATACATGCTAATATGTTGTAGCCATGACAAAACACATGCCAATAGAAGGCAGCCACAATAAAACACGTATTAATAGGTTGTAGCCATGAAAAAACACGTGCCGATAGGTGGCAGCCACAATAAAACATATGCTAATAGGTTGTAGACATGAAAAAACACGTGCCGATAGGTAGCAGCCACAATAAAACATATGCTAATAGGTTGTAGACATGAAAAAACACATGCCAATAGAAGGCAGCCACAATAAAACACATGCTAATAGGTTGTAGCCATGAAAAAACACGTGATGATAGATGGAAGCCACAATAAAACACATGTTAATAGGAGGTAGTAGAGATAACACATGTTAATAGGAACAGCAAATATAAAAAGCATAATCATAGATGTAAAACACAACAAAATGCACTGAAAGATAACAGCCACCATAAAACACACTGCGAGATAGAGGAAGACAAGTAAATACATGCAGTGATAGGCGTAAACCACAATAGAACGAGCTGAAAGATAACAGCAATTATAAAATGCACACAGATAAAGAAAGTCGAGAAAAAACACGCGGTGATAGATACTAATTAGATGCTTCATTAACCTCCTCCCCCAACTGCTGATGGAGATTACGAGAATCTGTCAAGCCATTACCCTGATAAATGCCAAGGGAGATGGCAGCAAAGGAGGATGGTAACTACGGGGGACGGTAGCTACAGGAGAGGGTAGCAACGGAAGATGGTAGTTACAGGAAACGGTAGCCATGGCAGATGGTAGCAATGAAGGCGGCAACCACAGAGAGGAGCAAAGTGCACGGGAAAGACTAAGCGAGTGAGCCGAGCAACGAAAATGCTGAAGACAGTAGATGACGAGTAGTATATAGACTGCTAATGCACGCACGCACGCACGCACTCACATGCACACAGAAAGACAGGCAGGCACGACATCTTGGTTTCATTTTCTCATGAAGTAAATTCTACACGGATAAATTATATCTCCTCACTTCCTCTCCTATAGGTTTATTTCCCCCCTCCCCACGGAGTTAGTTCTTCCCTCCCCCCCCCCCAGTATTATCTAACCGTCCCTACAAAATAGTATCTTCCCATTCCCATGATTGCAGACACGAATTATGATTAGAAACGATTCTGGAGAGCTACCATAACCACAGCCACAAATACACGCAGACAGCTCCCGTAACCACGACAACGAATGGATGCGAACAGCCTAGGTCGTCACGACAACGAACAGAGCGCCACCGATGCGGAGGACAGCCACCGTAACCGCGGCAACGAGCGCGCCTGGGGGACAGCGCGAACGGGCGCGGCGAAGATTCGAGATCGAGAAAAAGAAGAGAGAAGAGATAAGAAACAAAACAAAAACGGTGAATTATTGTTGTTTTACCTGCCATCGCGGGCAGCCCATAAGCTGTTAGTGGCTGGGCGCTGAATGCGGCTGGCATGCTGCTACCAAACGACGGCGCCATCATCCCGGGCAGACCTTGCACACACAAACAACACAACGTTACTACACCCGACCCCAAACATGCGCGCTACGGGACGCCGGAGGCGCCACTACGGAGAGCGAGGATGGCCACGAGGGGGCGCCACCACGGGAGCGAGGATGGCCACGAGGGGGAACCACCACGGGGAGCGAGGATGGCCACAAGGGGGCGCCACCACAGGGAGCAAGGATGCCCATCAAGGGGCGCCACCACGGAGAGCGAGGATGGCCACGAGGGGGCGCCACCACAGGAGCGAGCATGGACACGAGGGGCACCATCACGGGAGCGAGAATGGCCATGAGGACAAGGTACCACAGGAAGCGAGGATATCCATGAGGGGCGCCACCAAGGGAGCGAGGATGGCCATGAGGGGGCGCCACCAAGGGAGCAAGGATGGCCACGAGGCGAGCGGGCGGGGAGTTCAAGCTGTCCACGATGAGACACAACTACGGAGGATGTCCACGAGGGAGAGGCACTACAAAAGGAGGCTGTTCGCAAGAGGGCGCCACTACAGAGGAAAGCTGTCTGCAAGGGGGCGCCACTACGGAGCCAAGTTGCTCCATGTCGGAAGCACTTGCATTAAAGATCCGATCTTCGAATTCTCCGTGGCGAACCAGTTCTTTTTTACGACCATCATTTCTTCTTTAAGGACTCTGGTGCTCTCCCCATGGTTGCTCGCTCCCTCACAAGCGCCCCCTACCCACGCCAAACACACACACACACGCACACGCAATAACTACTATACTAACAATGCTATCAACCAAACAAAAAATAGATGCAATGCAGCAAAAAGCACGATTACTAATCAGGTTAACTGCCAACGCACGACAGGGGAGGCAACAATGGAACCACAGCAGGGAGTGATAAGCATGGAGGCGCGGCAAGAAGAGGCGAGCGCGTGGGCGCGGTGGCGAGAGGCGAGCACGGAGAGGCGTGGCGGGGAGAGGCGAGTGCAGAGAGGTGCGGCGGCTTTGCGGGGAGAGGTGAGCACAGAATGCAAGACAACACAATACTGTCCACAATGATGTGCAGTAATAATACCCGCTCCAGCACACCCGGTAGCAGAGCTTGGTAGCCGCGTGTGCGCGCGTCCGTCTGCACTGCGACATTAGCTCTAGGAACCCGCATTAACGCACCGACGCGCGCAACCGACGGGAATACCCCGATTAAAAATGAATAATTGATGATCGAAATTATTATTATGATGGTGCAATAATTAATGAAGCGGAGGCAGAAGACGGGTTAAGCGTTATCAGCCGGCCCACACAGAGACCCGCACACGATGTTAATTCTTTCACGCTGCGAAGAGCATAGCTGTGAGCCGTGAGACCAATACCACGGTATTATTAACATTATCGCAAATCTGCTTGCTCGGTGAATCCCTAGATGGGGAAAACTACTACGAATATAAAGCGCATTGTTCGGATAGTTTGGGATCCCGCGCAAACGTTTTTATGCAGACGTGCTAAACTAATCCGGGGTGCCAAACTAGGAGTCTTAATCTCGGATGCGTCCGCTGATTAGTAGTAGTAGAACTAGGAGGAGCCGTGGCTTCACGGCACGTTAGCATCGCTGACGGCCAGGCATCGCACACATGAGTTACCGTGCCGCTCTGTGGACTGATTAAATGTTCCAGGGAATACCAGTCAGCATATGACGCGGTCGAGCAATCAATGTGATTAACTACCTATTCGGGACCTAATTATTTATTAATTATTCGGGACACGTACTATACGCGGTGTAACATGGCTGGCAATACAAACCTCACACACCCACACACTCATGAATGCACGCACACACGCACGCACGCACGCACGCACATACACACTCACGCACGCACACACGGACACACTCACGCACGCACACACGCACGATAGCACCCTCACACGCACGACAGCACGCACAGACAATAACACGCAGGCAGGAGCTAACACGAAACCCAAACACCAAAGCCTGCTAGCTAACAATCAAGCTACGTCGTTCTAGCCCTTCCCCCACCCAGACCACCCCCCCTCAGCTTCTCCCTCCCCTCTCGGTGCGCTGGTTACGTACCCGGCATGCTGAGAGAATGGTCGATGACGGGGTCACCGGTGGGGAGGTTCGGGTTTGTGTAGTCGCGACTCTTGTCATTGTTGTACTTGACGTTGAGGTTGGTCAACTTGGAGTAGTCGATGCGTAATGTGCAGCAAGCATTGTAGATGTTCTGACCGTCCAGATTCTGAAACACACACGCACGACGTTCGAGACAATGTACGCGTCGGTAACGTACAGAGGGCAGCACCCGACGTGCGGAAGACGAACAACGTAGATGAACTCAGCGATCTATGAAACGACTTGTTTTAGGTGGGAGCACTCGTGCTTGTGTGCCACTGCGTCCAAATGGCAGCACTTACCAGTTTGGTGTTTTGTGCCGACTGTGCGTCTGGAAACTGGATCAACGATTGGAATGTGTCTGCAAGTAGAAATATATGCCATTGGTCCCTGCCTCATAGCCAATGCACACATAAACATATACCTACATACATGGTGTTTGCAAAGTGGTATAGTAGTATAAAATTCAATAGACCTAGGTTGCTTATCAACGACTTATCCTGCCAAATAATCTTGCAATAGTCTTGCATAACAAATGTTATAAGTTGGTGTGCATTCGGGCACTCCTTTGGAAAATATTTTTACATGTGACGGGTGCCTAAAATTTCTCATAGAACCCAAGGCAACATCTGTCTCTCCCTAAAAATTTCAATTCTATCCCTGAAAATGTATTAGTTACAAGTACCTGTAGATATAGTATAGGTATATTTACATTTGGATGTATCTAGCTATATTCATCGTTGAATGTCAGTACACATATTTAATTATGTTTGGTATATATATAGGAACATAAATTTTATAGCTGGATGAATCGAGGTGCACTCGTATCCAGACGTACAGGTCGATGTTTTGGTGGGTTCGTCACTACGAATATACTCACTGTTCTTGGTAAATGTGATGATTCTGAGGACCTTGCCAAACCGAGAGAATATCTGCAACAAGCATTATCGTATCCATCATTACCCGCAATTAGTCGTCACCTACTAGAAACACGAGTGACAGCCACAGGTGAGCGAGCAAACAGGTGAGCAGTTCTGGAAACAGCGGGCCGTCCCCTAGTCCAGGACTGCTAACACTGGAGCAGGACTGGCTACCATTCATCGATATCACTATAAGTAATAGGTTACACAGAAGAAATACAAAATTTCGAAATCAGGACAGGTTGGGGTTTCAGACTCATTTTCAAGACTGTACTCGCAAGACAGGTATAAACATGTGTACAAACAGGCCAGCATAACAGCATGAGAAATTGAACAGGTGAGCCAAACGGATTTTACGGATTTTACCTGGGAAAATGCTTAGCAAGGTGCTAGCCCAGGACCGCACCTGCTTTTCCCAGAACATGGAAACAAGTTATTTTCAACCTGTGTAGGAACAAGCATTCAGCTGTCCAGCCAGACAGGTAGACAAGTACTCAATAACCTGTCCAGCTAGACAGACAGATAGGATATCACCTGTCCATGTAGACGGTACTCACCTGATGCAGGACGTCGAGCGTGACGGGATAAACGAGATGTTCGACGATGACGCGCAGAACTGTGTTCGGTCCTCCAAGAACCTCACCGGTGTGACCGACGATGGCCTGTGCAGCGTTCAACGCCGCGTGCGCCGCTACGTTCTGTAACATCACATTACACGACCCGTGACATGACACACGCACGACATGACATGGCTTGTGGTATCAGCCATGCTCGCACGCACGCACACACACGCACGCACGCACGCACGCACGCACGCACGCACGCACACACACTGGGTCTGTGATATCACACGCACAACAATCAGCAGCCTCTGATATCACTCGTCCACTACGATCTCCTCACACACTTGACGTCACCTCGCACGATCGCTATCACGGCATCACACCGCGGCCTTGCCATACATCAGCTGCTAACAGGCAGTCTGCAACCTTACCCCCTACTTTACTTTCTAACGACAACAGTAGATCATTACTGACAGCAATGACTGATAGCCTGAGATAACCACATGCATTACAACTGTAACGTGGACATTGTAATACAGCTGATCAATCAGTGTCACAGCGAAAAACTCAGTGTTTGAAGACCACAGAACAACACCAAGAAGTCAGTCTGTGGGGCATTCATAACGAGGCACGCCTCCACGCACGCACACACACGCGCGCATGCACGCACACACACACAGACACAATACATAGACGGACATATATGGCATTATTTCAATCCCCTAACTACTCACTGCAGTGTTCGACATGTCCGTCTTCAACTCCTTGTGATTGGAGAACTGTATGAAGACAGTGCGGCCGCGCAGGTTTGCCGGACAGTTGGTGTAGTAGTTGACCATCGTAGCTGATGCTGTCTCATCACCCATCTCTATAAATGCCTGCAAACACACACACATAGAGCGAGATGGGTTAGAATACTGACACTACTGCCGCCGCCACGACTGTTGCTGCTGCTGCTGCTGCTCTTACTACTGCTACTGCTGCTGCTGCTGCTACTGATGCTCTTACTACTGCTACTGCTGCTGCTGCTACTGCTGCTCTTACTAGAATACTACTGCTACTGCTGCTGCTGCTACTACTATTTCTGCTCTTACTACTGCTACTGCTAGTGCTGCTGCTACTGCTACTATTACTGCTCTTACTACTGCTGCTGCTACTGCTGCTGCTGCTGGTGGTGGTGCTGGTGAATTTTCAAGTCAGGATGCAGCCACACACAAAGCAAGCACACCAACTAGTAATAAGTACCATCGAAGTCAATCAAAAGCACCACCCCACAAGCTTTCACGGAGTAGCGTGATGTCATTTACGTGGCTAGAAATCGCAGCATTCAAGGTTCTTCTGTCGCGGATTACCATAATCTAACCCGCAGCACGCCTGATTACACGGCCGCCAGTGAAGGCCGTACGGAAGCACACGCCGAGCTACCGTCCATGCCACGACACACGCCTCCACCCCCCCCCCCAGTGTCATTAATGAGATGCTCCATTCTGGTAATTCGGATAAGCCCTCGCGATAATGCGGACGGCATTTCTCGGCTTTTCGTTGGGTTTGCATGCTCCATTAGTTCAATCCAATTTAGCAACCACTGACACGCTCACAGACACACACACACACGCGCCTACAGACGCACACGCACGCACACAAACACGAGCCTACAAATGCGCACGCACACACACGCGCCTAGTCGCCGCCTACAGACGAACACGCACACGCACGCACACACACACGAGCCTACAGACGCGCACGCACACACACGAGCCTACAGACGCACACGCACGCACACACACACGAGCCTACAGACGCGCACGCACACGCACGCACACACACACGAGTCTACAGACGCGCACGCACACACACACGCCTACAGATGCACGCGCACGCACACACACGAGCCTACAGACGCATGCAAGCACACACGAGCCAACAGATGAGCACGCACGCACACACGAGCCTACAGACGCACGCACACACACGAGCCTACAGACCGCAGCACTACGGTTCACGAGCTGATCAACGGGCCGCACGGCACACGACGGCAATACAGACGCCACAGCACATCCCGAGGCCTACAGACGCATGCTAAGCACACACAGAGCTACAGATGAGCACGTACGCACACACCACGAATAAGCCTACATGATGCATGTCACGACGATCACGAGCCTACAGACAGCTTGCACGGCACACACGAGCCGTACAGACGCATCACACACACACACAACACACACGAGCCTACAGACACCTCGCACAGCACGCACGCAGCACTACCCACGAGCCTACAGACACGCACAGTACGCAGCACACACACACGAGCCCTACCGACCATGCCCAGCACACTGAGCCGTATCAACACATGCACGTCACATCACGAGGCCCAAGCAGATTGTGGCACGCACAGGCACCACGATGCCTACGATGAGCGCATGCAGCAGCACACACGAGCCTAGCAGACACAGCAACGCACTCACACGAGCGCTACAGACGCATGCACACACAGCACAGCACAGCCAACGATGGTGCAGCGACGGCATCACGCAGCCTACAGACGCATGCACACACACGAGCCTACAGACACATGCACGCACTCACACGAGCCTACAGACGCATGCAGCACACAAAGGCACACACCACACGAGGCCTACAGATCACGCATGGCACGCACACAGCGACACACGACTACAGGACACGTGTGGTGCATGCACGCACAGCACACACGAGCTACAGACACCATGAATCACACACACAGCACAGCCTACAGACGCTGCACAGGCACGCACACCACGCACACGAGCCTACAGGACGCACGTGCACGCACACCATTTGAGCCTACAGACGCATCGCGCAACACGAGCCTCAGATGGCGCACGCACTCGCAGCGGCACACAAGTCAGAGTGGACACAAGCTAGCAGACGCCACGCACGCACGGGACAACACGAGCCTACAATGGCGGCACGCACACACACGCGCCCTAGTCGCCGGCCTACAGACGAATCAGCGCACCACTGCACCACACACACACTGAGCCTACAGACGCGCAAGCACACACACGCGCCTAAAGACGCAACATGCACCCACACGACAACGAGGCCTACAGACGCGCACTCGCACGACGCACTCACACTACAACAGTCTAGCAGATGCGCACGCCATACGACACACGCCTACAGATGCATGGCGCGCACACACACGAGCCATAACAGACAAATGCAGCGCAAACGCACGAGCCTTACAGACGCGCACCGCACGCAACACACGCCTACAGACCGTCACGCGCAGCGCACACAGGCCACGAGCGCTCCTAAACAACGCGCACGGCACACGCAGGAGCCTAACAGACGCGCGACTGTCACGCACACACGCATACAACGCACATCATCCTGAGCGCTACAGACGGCCAGCAGCACAGACGACCAACGACGATGAGGCACGTACGCACACACGAAGCCTACAGATGCACTGCACACACATCGATGGCTACAGACCACATCCGGCGGCACACCACGAGCCTACAGACCATGCGGACACACACACACACACACATGCGAGCCTACAGACACGCACGCACGCACACAACACAGCGAGCCTAACAGAACGCCGTACGCACATCACAGAGTCACACTGAGCCTACAGATCGCAATCACACACCGATGCCTACAGCACATGCCAAGCGCCACACACGAGCAACCGATGTGGCACCGCACACGACGAGGCCCTACAGACGCAATGCACCCAACACAGATGCCTAGCAGACACATCACGCCTCACACGAGCCCTACAGACGCATGCACACACTACACCACGAGCCACAAGAATCGTGGCAACGCACGTCACCCCCACCCACACACGGCTACATGACCATGCCCACACCGGGTAACCACGGAGCTACAGAGCACCATGGCAGAGCCACTCACGACGAGCCTACAGACTCATGCACACACACACACACACAAGCAGCCTACAGACACGCATGTCACGCAAACTGCACAGAGCCTACAGACACGCGATGCACGCACACACAACAGCGGAGCGCTACTAGTACACATGGCACACAGCCACACCAGCCAGAGCGCTACAGACGCGCCGCCAGGACTAGCACCCAGGCCTCCGCCGAGGGCCACACGAGGCCTACAGACGCACGTGCACGCAACACGATGAGCTACAGACGCAGTGCGCACTACGAGCCTACAGATGCGACGCAACCACGAGTGAACGAGGCCTACAGCGCACACACGCACGAGCCTACAGGCGCGCACGGCAGCGCACAACACAAGCTACAGAAGCACACGTCACGCACACACACCACGCCTACAGATGCACGCGCGAACCGCACAGACACAGACGCGCGACGGAACCAGCTGACACCTGCGTGCCTGGACGCTCACCAGATGCACACGCAACAACACACGCCCATGCCCGGACGCACCACGCACACACACGCATGCACACACACACACACACAGCACGTCATGCCCGGACGCAACACGCGCACACACACCATGCACACACATCACACACACACACACACACCAGCACACACAGCACACCGGACGCACGACCGCTCACACACGACATGCACACAACACAAAGCACACGCGCACAATGGCGCACTGACGCACACGCACACGCGGACACAACGCACGATACGCTGTCACGCACCACAGCTCACGGCACAAGACGCACACACCTACGCACACAAACACACACGCGTCACCACACGCACACACTACACACCTCACGCACACACAGCCACGCGCCGCGCACTCACGCACTCGACGGGCGACGGCACGCACGCACACAGCTTACCTGACTCTTGCCCCGGAGCACGAGCACGTTGGTCACGCGGCCAAAAGGAACGCCCAGGTTGATGATCTCAGTCTCCGTCGCCTCGTTCGGAATGTTGCGTATGTGGACGACTCGCGACGGCTTGTTGCTACCGTAACCACGGTCCAACTTCGCCTGCACAAACGCCAACAACAACACCAACAGTTAGTCAGTGTTTCCCCTGTCCAAAAATATGTTTCCACATTTCGGGGTGGCACAGCGAGCAGCGCAGGTGCTGGCCAAGCTAGGGGGGGAGGGGGGTCCAGGGCATGTTCGCCCGGGAAATTTTTCAAAAAAAAAGGTGCAATTTGGTGCATTTTAAGCTATTCTGAACCCATTGTATGAGACTCTTGAATCTCTTTTTCAAGTTGTCAAAAGTTTCGTCAGCAAGCCGGTGTTTTGGACAAATTTTTGCGTGGCGGCTGAGAATTTGAGCGAGGCGGCCCGCCTCGCTTGTGTCAATGCATTAATGATGTCCCGATGATGGATTATGATCGAAAGTCAGTCATCTGCAGCAACCGCCTAAGTGCTCGTTTATGAAAACATATATATAATCAATTATCCAAAAAAAAATTTTTTTTAAATGTCCAAACATTGATGAAATGAAAATGTTTATTTTATTTGTTTTTGTTGTTGTTACTTTACAGTTTGGAGACAATAAATCTAACCTACACCAAACATAAGCAAGCATAATACTCAACATTACATAGCTTTTAGAATATAGTATTACTATTATAAAAAATACTGTATTATTATGATATATATATATTTCAATATCTGATAGCTGCGATCAATAACATTAAACCGATTATCTTCGATCATCCAACCAATGATCGATGATGAAATTCCAACCGATTCCCATCACTAACTAACCATTAGTGACTAGTCTACGTCCTCCTAAACAAAACAGCATGTGCATGATGTGTGTCTCCACGCACGCACTCCTCCTTTTCTTTCTCACGCTCCCTCACTCTCCGTGTACTCCCCCTCTTCCCCAATGCATGATAGCATTACTGTCCCTCCTGACCGAGGCTGGGTTTAATTGTTGCTAGCTACGCACTCTCCTCCCACTGCCGCTGCAGCAGCATTAACGTAATAGAACCCATTATAATTTCCCCGACGAGTAACGAGTTGATGGTTTCCATGGTTACGACTCCGCGAAGGCCGCCGGAGTCAGTCGAAACAATGTGAAAGTTTGGTCGCGCTATCGCACATTACTCAGTCTCTCCACATCTAATCATCGCTAATTGTCTCCACTTCAAACGTTTACCCGTGAAAAAACAACAACTCATGATGGGATGATTTGATCAACTATCTGTGTTCACATCACGATGTTTTTAATTAGGATAGATGCAGATAAATTAATTGTAAACTCATATAAATACCCCAAGCAACTGTGTGCAACTATTATGATTCCTGGTTTATTTATATTATAAATGATTTGATCAACTATCTGTGTTCACATCACGATGTTTAATTAGGATAGATGCAGATAAATTAATTGTAAACTCATATAAATACCCCAATCAACTGTGTGTAACTATTATGATTGGCAGTTTATTTATATTATAAATGCATATTTGAGTTGATTGTGAATTCACATCTATCACCTATAACATCATTAAGGTAATTGTTATAATAGTCCAATTAAAAATGCCCCCGACCACATGGCTACTACCGTCCCAAACCACCTAGCCACCAACCAACCACCACCAGCCCAGACCACCTAGCTCCCACCACTACAGATCACCTAACCACCACCACCCCACCCCACCTAGCCACCGTCCCAGACCACCTAACCACCACCACCCCAGACCACCTAGCCAACACCGCCCCGCACCACCTAGATACGACTGCCCCAGACCACCTAGCTACCACCATTACAGACCACCTAGCCACCAACGCCCCAAACTACCTACCCACCACCACCCACACCACCTAGCTCCCAATCCCTGCTCTCTGGTGCCTGCTACGTGCGTGCATTACTCAGAGTTTCTTCTAAGGGAAAATCAGACAAAGGAGGTAAACGGCCAGTTTGGGAAAAAAAACGTGCATGATGGATTCAAAAGCGTGCCATAGGTACGCATGCGGACGCGGGGGTAGAGGGTGTACTCCCCTTCTTGCTGGGGGGGGAGGGGTTCTGGTGGGTCTCCCCCAACATATTTACACTATTTTGACAATGGCGGGTAAATACAGGAACATTTTCACAACAGCGATGTTAAATTTGACAGCGGCAGTGCGCCACTGAGCCTCTTCTGTATGAGAAACCCTGATTACTCACCTTCTTTGCTCCATTCTCATCATCTGCGCTAGCATTGTTCGGCTGTGGGCTCATCATGTTACCATTACTAACGTACAGCTGAGTTTGAGACTGCAGTTCTTCAGAACCGCGCTGCAAGAAACGAAAAACACGTACGCGATTAGCGTGAACACACATCCACTGTTAGTGTTGCTCATAGGGTCTATGTCCCCCAGGGTACTGCCGGAACGTACCCTGGGTACGGTCCGGTATACCAGAATTATTTGTACTATTTGATATGGTTAGGGTTAGG